AAAATAAAGATTTAAAGCTGTAAAATGCTTTTTTAAAAATCTCGTCACAATAATTTTTTTAACAAAGTTGCTCTATCTTGAATTTTTAGAAATTATCGATATATTAACGCATTGTCCAGACAATTAGTTTGGTGACTGTATATGTACAGTGTAGCTTAAATAAAGCTACATATAGCCACTAATTATATAGCTATATTTTATTCTTATTATATAGCTATATTTTATTCATAAAAAACTAATTGTAAGTCGAAAAGTCCTGATATATTTTTATTAGTTCTATTTCTTGTCGAAATTTTCTGCGACCAGATATTTTATTAAGGCGGTATTTTAATTTTATTGAGGTAATTGCTTGACATTCATAATCATATTAAGCTTCTTAAGTGAAAACTGATTGAAAAAAAAAAAATTATTCACAAAGAATTTTTATGGCACAGTTTCCTTTTAAGGTCTATGAAACTGACATTTCATATTTTACAGAAAACACACTTTTGATGTACTAATTATACAAATACTTAATCTTAGATATGTTACATATCTTTTCATTGTTACGTACCACTAAGAGCTAGTACACAATCAGCAGCACAGGCAACTTTGGTTATACGCTGTCCTGCCAGATCACCTTTTACTAAACTTGGTCGGTGTTCATTTTGATAGTGGGCAAGACCTGTTTGTCCATCCGCGCCCCAGCCAAATGTGTACACTTCACCTGTCTCTGTCAAGAGTATGCTGTTATATAACGTTAATGAGAAATGGCAAGAACTGTAATGACATAATTAACACTTAATTAATATTTTTTACCTGTGATCTTGACCAGCTGTCACTGCAACAATTTTTTTTTTAATGTCAGGTATACAATGCACGACCGTACTTTTCTCGTAATTCTCATTCAATATTATTGGCCTACCACATTGACCATATGCATTATTACCCAATGTAAACAGACCTTCTGTTGTTAATATTAATAAGTGCGCTCTTCCAGCAGCCATGTTTATAACTTTAGTTGATGTATCCCGTAACGGCAAAACTATCGGTCTTGGATTAAATACCATATTGGGAAACTTCTCATCAAGGTTGTAACCTATTGCAGAAAACCTAAATTATAATATATGGTCTAAAAATCAAAGATTATTTCTAATAAAACTAAATAGGTCTCATAATATTGGCTTAGCAATAAAACTAAAATAATCCCTAGTTACCAAGTTGCGAATCCGTATTTATGCCAGTCCCATAAACGATATTCTTATCTGAAGAATGTACAGCATAAACTGTAAAGCCATATCCACAAGCGATATCTATCACCTTGTGTCGCTCAGCAAAGGGCAGTCTTTTTGGTTTTGAGAGATACGAGATTTGGCTCTTTTTTAATGCTCGCGTTTCTCCAAGAGCACCATGCTCCGCAAGACCCCATACATATACTCTACGGTCATCCTCTCGACTTATCGGATATTGGAAAACTGTAAACAACGTGATTATGTATAAACGATCTATCAATTTGATGCTGATATACATAATATTTTGGCAGGAATATTTTTCTAACTTGGTAAAGTTTTAAGCTCAGGCTTTAAAGGTATGGACTTCTGACTGGCTAGGTGCAAATTTTTAGCAGTCCTCGTGACTCGCACGAAGCAATTTCTACCCGCACTAAACATTTTTCTTAAATTTCCTCAAGACACAAATTTTTTTTTATATATTCTCCTTCGGGCAAACAAGTTATTAGAGTGCCTTCAATCTTTCCTTTTGATCTTTTGGCATACGGTATTTGGTTCCTTAGACATACTCAAGATACAAAGATATTTGTAGGTTATTTGGTAGTTAGAATTATACAATCTTCTTCTTTTTCTTTCAATTAGGCATTTGTCCTCTTGCGAAGATCAATGCAGTAGCAAATACAGCTAATATCCCTCTAATATTTCTAAAGACACAGTGTTGTTGTGTGTGATTATGATTTTTTTTAAATGTTTTCTTCTAGAGCTGTCGCTATTCACATTTCTGGGGTGCGTTCCAAAACTTACTCGAGTAAGGTCATGGAGGACTGGAGAGAGCACATCGGTGGTGGGGGTAAGAAATTTGTAATCGAAAATGACACCAGTCAACCATCTAAGGGTGCTATTACACGAGTCGTACGACGAGCGTTGTCGGACGTAGCGATTGGCTACTAATGCGCATGCGGTCGTACGTACGACGAAATTTTGTCGGACCCATGTAATATACAATCTACGACGTTGTCGTCTATCGATAGCGA